AGTTCTCCTCAGTTCTGTTCCCGGAGAACAAGACGGTTCCCCTGACGATTGAGGAGGTGTCTGTGCAGGAGAGCGCTGTGTACTACTGCGCCCTGAGTCCCACAGCGCTTAGATTTGCCTCCTGCCCGTACAAATTGTGAACGAGGTTCTCGTCGGAAACGCACCGCTGGGAGGGGGCACATTTTCGGGCATAATAAATGCTATTCACCTTCCTGATCTGAACCTCCTGCCCGCGGACCATTTCTTCAGTAACTTGGACCAGTTTGCACCAATCTGCCAAGGGTCCTGCTGCTTCACTTCTGGTTTTTCCTTAGCAACCTGCAAGCACCGGCCGCTTTACTCAATCAAGGGAAGCGTGTTTGATCTTTAGCATTTCGGCACTGGAACTGTATCCAGGTAACGGAATCCTTTCTCTGTCCGCACAGCTTGGTTAGTCCCTAGTGGACTTGTCTGCAGACTTGCTGTCTGAGCCAGCATTTACCTCTGCACTCCTTCGCCACTTGTCTCTGTGCCTGTGCAGCTCTCTTCCTCTTTCTTCGTATGGCTTTCCCTGAGCACTGTATGTCCGTCTGCGAAGAGCTCAGCACTTCCAGGCTCCAAAGAAGACACTCACACTATGTCTCTGGTGTGATTGATTGATTGATTGATTGATTGGCAGGGGAGGTGTGGAGCGATTCGATCCGACTCAAAGAAACGCACGTGTCTACAACAGAATGAGACGCGGTGACACTCCGCTGTTTCTACACCACCAGCTACAGCACTAGTGGTTACTATCTGTACTGGTACCGCCAGCATCGAGCCGAGCCCTGCAGTATGTTCTGCACAGGGGGACTAAGGAGCCCAGGAGGTCCAGAGACACTGCGGAGTTCGCCAAGGTGCGGTTTTCTTCCCAAGCTGTTGACAACTCCACAGTTTTGAACCTCACCCTGGAGCGGGCAGACACAGCAGTGTATTACTGCGCTTTGCGGAAGGCACAGCGAGAGTCCCTCGGGAGAGCTGTGCACAAACCTTTCTTTCTTGCACATTGTGAGGGGGCGGGGTAGTAACCACAGCCATCAAAAAAATCCCCCCGACAATATTCTCCCTCGGGTCACAGGCAGCTCTGTTCATGGTGACAGCGAGTGATACAGACGCCCTGGCTGTGGACCAGGTTTGGGTGTGAGTCCGGAGTGAGTCCGCAGTTTGGGAGAATGTGCTGTAATTCTCTCCTCCCCTCGGGATTCCCGGAATGCCCCTAGCAAATCATCCCGGGACAGAGCGTGGAAGGCACCGACCAATGTAGAGAAGTGTCCAGTGTTCCCACCACCACTAGTTGCGCTCAAATGAATTCGGTGGCGACGTACGAATGAAAAATCTAGTAGGCGTCTCTCTGTTTTAGGTGCACAAATACCTCCGATTTCTGGCTCGGAGAGAGTTAGGGTGTCCCGGACAGCTGTAGTTCAATGTGTACAGCGTGGGAGCTGGCGACATAACAGAACCTCCCTTACAGTCCTGATGGAGAGGTGAAACAAGAACAGCATCCAAGGCAGGACGCAGCGGGGACAGGGACGACAGGAAATCCGTCTCACTCTCCTTCTCTCCACACCCCGGTTCCTGAGCTATACACAAGCTCGACTGTGGGCGGGAGAGATTTCCCAGAAGGATTTTTTTAAGGGAGTGGTAATCCGATCCTCTTCCCAGTTCCCCTGAAAGGAAGAGTGACTACTAATATTTTCCTCACTGTGTAAACGGAATGCCTTTTCTGGAGAAAAAGGGCGATCGGACCGATTAAGACCCAGGGTTTAATGCCAGAAGATACCTTTAAGGTCACTTATTTTCATTCCCTGTCTAAAATAGGGGAGAGGGGGAAAAAACAGAAAATGCATGATTTAGCTTTCCCTACCAAAAAACCCCGACACATGCAGCATTGATCGATTTGAAGCTACTACAGGTGTCTATCCTTGTGAACGCTCTGTCCTTGACCCACCCAACAACTGTGTTACTAACATGATATTAGTACTTTTGTTATTGTGGGCAACCGCAGCACTCACCAGGCGGTTTACCAGTTGAACCGGGGGGAGCGGGTGGATGACCAACCTGCCTTGCAGACAGGCCGGGGATGAAAGGGACACTGACTCAGTTGGAAGATAGTAAAACTGAACTTAACGTTTACTTACAGTAAGATTCCAACAGTGGTTACACAACAAAACGACAGTGGTGAAGCAGTAGTTAAAGATGACAGGTAGGAGATAGCAATTGCTTTTTCCGATGTACAGACGGATGGAGAGCTCACTATTCGGTGAAATAATAGCCAGAGTATGACTATTCGGCCATGGGGACACGGATTCCTGGACAGGGTGATCAGTCCTATCCAAGGGCCTGTGTGGAACCCGGGACCCTGCGCTTTAGCGCGCTGTCCCTTTTATAAACTCGTCAGCCAATCAGAGGAGGCTGCTGATTGACAGTTAAGAGAGTGTCTGCTGGCCAGGCAGCCACGCTTCTCCTGCAGCTCCTGATTCGTTAAAGCCACCTGATCACGAGCTGGTCAGCATCATGATCATGAGCTCTTCACACGCTGAACATGACCTGCTCTCGTGTTCTGCATTGGTCTGGCATGTGGGCTGAGCGTTTGGTCACCTTTTGTACTCAGACAGTTATGTTTTCTTTTCTTTTGCTTTGGTTTGGTTTTGAATTCTTCCATTTTCGTCTCCGCTGCGCAGTGCTCTTGTCTTAGCTAAAAACGCACCTCTCATTTGCTTCATGCATGTTCACACTCCGATGTCCTTGACATAGATTCTAGTAGACGGAGATGTCCTAGTGATTTCTTCGTTGTAATATGAGCTGGAAAAGAAGAAGAGGATCACAAGTGAGAGCAGATCTCACTTCGAGAGCCTGCGCCATCTTTTAATAACACAAATGGAGAAAAACTAGTTTTATCATTCACTCATGAGTTTGTAAACATAAAAAGACATCTCGAAGCTAGGGGTGCCCTATAGGTTCATGCAACCCGCGCGGTGTGCACTCCGCTACCGGACTGCATCTCCGCATGTGTCTCTGCCCTGTGGTTTCTGCGGAGCCGCAAAGTTTAGGATTTTCGAAAAAGTCCAGGGGAGTCGGGGAAGCGACTTTCGTCCCGTCCGGCAACCGTGATTAAGAACAGCAGAAACCCTGAACTGGAAACCCACACCTCATTGTAAGATTTGGGAGAGAAAAACTCTTCCTTTAATAGCTAAATACTTGGAAAAAATGGAAACTAGTTTCCCGAGCCGCTGTAATTGGAAGTGCAGGCTACGCTGGGTGCAAGGGAACAAGAACAGCAAGAAAAAGGGAAGAGGGCGACAGGGAGGTTGCATGTCCCTTCCTTCCTTTTACAGACCTGGTTCACGGCGAGTCTTGTGTTCCTGTCTCGCCCGGCAGTGACAGTCCCAGAGGAACACGCCATACTACACCCTGCAATATCACCACTATTTTCACCACCCTGTGTCCTGCTGCAGTCAGTACAGACCTAGTACCCTGAGAATGTCCTGAGAGCAAACAGATTGCTGAAGGGAAGAACAGGCTCCGTGATGGACCATTCCCAGTTGCTTTTGCCTCCCATAAAGGTAGGTTTTCAAAGAGACCAGAACGGCGCTGAGTGTCGCTGCGCTCTAAGACCCGTCCTGGGTGCCTTTGCCTTCCTGCCCTCACCTACTGCGAAGGCAGCTCCTTATCCAGAGATATCATGGAAAAGACTCCCCTTGCCTGCCTGACATTTTTATTTCACCGATCGTCTCCCAGTGTCAGAGTCCCTTGCTCTTCTGATTTCTGAAGAAACTTTTCACTCTGAAGCCCAGTAGAAACTTTTCACTCTGAGACCCAGTAAGGGAGGCCCCTTAGGTCTGCGGACTAAGGGAGACTTTCCTAATAAGCCCCTGACTTGGGAAGTGCCCCAAGTGCTTGTATTGGGTCTAGTACCTATTGGGCGATCAGGCCTGTGTTTTCCAAGGTGCGCAGAGCCAGAAGTGAGTCCAGAGCCTTGGATGGTGGCAGCGGGAACCCCAGGCTAGCGGGTGTGCTCCAGGGAAGGGGTCGGCCGGACGGGAGGCACCCTAAGGGAGGCACTCGGAGCCTGGAAGGTGGTCGGG